TTAAATCACCAGATAGCATCTAAGCGCATAATTTTTTACGTTAAATCTCCGCTCTTCTACGATTTGCTTCTTCCTAAGCGATGGTTTTGTCGAATTCAAAACTATGTAATGATTCTATTCTTTCTTCTCTATTTTATGCGCAGAAAATATTTATACTTCAAAAATTCATCAATGTTGTTTCCAAGTGAAATACTCTGGAAAAAAAAGATGGCAAGTAATCGAATTATTTCGATTGTTCGTAACTCCACTCTGGGAAAAATGTTGACCGTTTCTTTTTGTAGTTAAGCAACTTAACATTTCGGTTAGTGCCTGAAAATTATCTTTGCGTTACTGAATCTCGACAGAACTAATTGAGAGAATTGATTAGCATCACTTAAAAATCTTGGATATAGATAGAATAGCTAAGTGCGATTTTTAGTTACGCGGGGTAAAATTCGTAAAAGATTAGAGTGTTACGAACAATCCAAATAATTCGATTACTAATTGTGGGCCCCAAAATGGGTTGCTGTCTTTTCTTTCCCAGAGTAGCTCCAGGGCATCTCGACAGACTTGAAATCTATGATACATAAGTTCGATTAGCCTAGTCGAATGCATCACAGCTTTACAGTGTTATAAACGAATATTATGGTGATCTCGCAATTTTAAATCACGGAAATAGATCACAACGATCGAGTCGCGGTACTAGCAGCAGCGACGGCTAAACAATCGCATTTGTTTGGAAAAGGTTTCCTGCGGCCTTGGTCGACGGTTATTTCGGACGGCCTATCCCACAAGCTATTGTGTATCGTAGATTCGATTGATCGAGGAAGGTTTATCGACGGCGCACCGTGCGCCTATTGTGACCGGGAAAAATCGCACTTGCGGAATAAGCGACATTTCCAGCTTCGTATACCAGCCGCGACTCAAAGTTTACAACGCCGTCTAAAGCGACAGATCGAAAGCGAGTCCACAACGACGGGCGTAACTTGATTTTCCGAGGCGTTTGAGCACAGCTGCTGTTTATGGGGCAGGTGAAATGAATCGCCCCTCCGGAGATATGCATTTAGATGCCGGTGGGTTACAGTTATTATCGAGAGTTTTGCGAAGAACGGCGGGAGTTATGCCAAAAATGCATTCACGGGGCGCCCTCGCGTGTTCACCTGCCTAGACGTTCGCGTGTCGTCAATTACGTAAATGACTAGCGGTATCGGGGCGGTTACTTTGAAGAAAAAGAATAAGGGCGGAAACTATTTCGGAGTTCGATCGCGAACATTCGGAGCGCTTCTGTATTTTTCTTAATTCTCCGTCGTGAGAAATTGTTGAAGGAAATAACGGAGTTACGAGAAAGGGATAGAATTGAGATTTCCAGTTGCGAACGATGACGTAACGTACACTCGCGATCGCGAGGATCTTTAAATCTGCGTCGACGGATATGAATGTGCGGTACACCGTAGCGATGATGTGTGTGGTTTTGTCACCGAAGTGTAATCTTAAGAGCACGCTGCCAAGGCGACTATCTAAACAACGAGGCGCTGTGCAACGCAGGTTCGTTGCAGAGGGTTTATTGTTTTCAGTGTTTAAGCAGCGTTTAAGTCTCGATGATTTATTAGCCGATCTATCATTTTCGCGAATTACCGAGAGAGTGGTAGAGTTCTTTCTCAATGTCACGTACGAACGACCGCCACACACCTTCAAGAGTCGCGCGGCTCATTAAGACCGTACAATTTCTATCATTTTATTTCGATGCGTCGCATCGATTAAGATACCGGTAAGTAGACATTCCGTGCCTGTGTTGGCGCATTAAAAATATTTCGCAGTCGCTCTTAGAGCATAAATAATGGTTCCGCCATAGCGCCGTTAAAAAGTGGGACACGCACCTGCGATACGCGTGTATCTATGTCCACCGTAATTAACTTTGTTATCTTCACGACTTTTATCTATTGGCGCAATTAACAAAATGCAACTGCAAAACTAGTCCATACTGCATATTTGCGTGAATGAACCTACCCTAGTCAACGCAATTTTTACAAGCCGCTTACAGCTTAGTGTTTTTAGCAATTATCATTTACAACATCAAGAATTATTTGACGCCAATACACGACTAACAATAATTAAGTTTACAATCGGCCATAACTGGCAACGTTCTTTTTTTAATTTTTGCGAAAATTTATTGCGAAAAATTAAATTAAATTTAATCAGCCAGGGTTTGAACCTGAACTTCTCTACTCTCTAGGCGGGCGTCTCACCAATTCGACCACTGAGGCATGTAAAATTTTCGGTGTTAAAAAAGACACGTTGCCAGTTATGGTCGATTGAAAGCTTAATTATTGATTATCATTTACATCTACAGTAATCAGCCAATTGTTTGCTACGCATTTATTGTATTTACCGCATCTATAATATATTTTCCGTATCTACTGTACGGAGTTAATGAAGAAATAAATGCAAATTATATTTAAAAAATTGTATGTACTCTTCAATTTGTAGAATAATAACTGTCTTATACAGATAAAAAATCTTATATTCTTCCTAGTTGTGCTAGTAATGTATAGAGCGCCGACAAATTGCTACGATATTTCAATTCTTATAGCTGGACAAGTACAATAATACAGAATTAGAAAAAAGAGAAAGTGATGAATCAAGCCTGAGTAATCAAGTAAGCCTCTCATTAAATATTAATTATCAATAATGAATCGCTCAAATATAACGGACTAATTAAAAAATTGCTCGCATAAAAATGAAATAAATTTGTGAAAAGTATGAATTGTAGAGACTGATTTGCGCCGAGTCCTCGCGTTTCCGGAGTGCAGCAGTGTCTCCGCAGGCCGGCTATTGTAAATAAACGGGGGACAAACGAGGACGCGGCGAGTGCAAGAGAGATAGAGACGCGAGGGTACGGAAATGCAGTTCTCGGTGAATGAATGGATAAAATCAGGAAGATCCCCCGTGTCCCCCGGCCCGATTACATCGAACGAGACACGCTGCTCCCCCGCCCGTTCTCTCGGGTACCGCTGGTAATGCCGCCTCGCAACACGAGATTAGTTCCGCAGAGTTAGCCGGCCGGCCGACGAGCAGCCTTGAACCAAATTACGGGCTGCCGTTGTTTAGTTGTTTAGCCGTCGTACGCTCTGCGGAGAAATCCCGGCCGGGAGCGCCTGAGGCGACGCTACAGGCGCGGTTCGATCGCGATCTCACTTTCCGCTCCTTTGATCGGCGCTACATGGACGCCGATTATTTTTAGCCAACCAATAATCGGCCGAATATCTCCCGCTATGCACGAACGCGTGTTATTAACATTTTTTCGGCCGCGATACGACAGGTTGTTCACGCGCGCCACCTTATCGCTGCCGAAAAGTCTTGTCAGCGATGCTTCGAGAGAGAAAGAAAGAGAGAGAGAGAGAGCCCGATCGCGTATATCCTATCCCGCGGTTTTGCGTAAATGTATATTCAACACACTTGTGCCGAGACAGGACGCGGTATTGTGAGTGTAGCCTTGAATTTACAGGCACGACTGCAACAATAGTTGAATAGAACGCGTTGGTACATCAGAAACCGCAAACCTCGGCAAACCGTTCGCGCGAGAGCGGACTACCAAGCCGATATTCCGTAAACCAAACTGGAAAAAAAAAGTGGAGAGAAGTGACGGAATTAGCATACCGTCGAATAGAGTTACGTTGCCCTTGGTATAAATATTTTACGCGATGTAAAAGATGGCAAGCATCTTTTAAAAGGTAATTCTACGGCGCGCCAATCCGACAGTCTGCGGCCCGAAGCCTAAATTTCACATCGCTTTACGTGTGCATTGTTCATTTCTACGACTGTGTAGTATATTTTCCGTCGGACATGGTTGCCACTCATTATGACCACCAGTCACCGTCACCACTGCTGTTCTCGATCGTTATCATTACAGTCATCATCATCATCAATGTAATTGTCATTATTATCATTACCGTTATTATCTCATCATAATTATCATAATCCTTTTTATTTCCATCCAATATCTTGGTAGCTAACCACGCAGCATGACAAGGCACGTTCTCATAGCCTTGACAGTCGACCCGACACTCCTCAGACTCGATGACTATCGAAGTAGAAACACGAACCTAAAATAACTGAACGATTTTGTCAAATGTTGATAATGCGGACGATCAGAATTATGCAGCGAGTGTGTATGCATACGATAATCCATTCGATAATTCTACGTGATTTTCGTGGCCGTTACATCGATGCAGTTATTAATCATTGATGAATGTTTACAGTACATTAAGCGAACAATATTACACGTATGAATGTAGAGAAGAAGACGAGGAGAAGCGGGACAGAAAAGATGCTCCTGGCCTTAGCCTACTATTTTTGGATGAGCATCCTCAAGGCTACCGACTATCTCTCTCATACTCTTTTTCTCCATTTTGTCCACGCGAGAATTTCTGAGTTAGGAATGACGAAGTGAAACATTTGGTACCGCTAGACTGATACCATAACATTATATAGAAGTAAAAGATTGTAAAAATGCCCGTTAAGTTTTCAGTTCTTTTACACATTTAATGTAAATTTTTTGTGTCGATTTTGGCATGAATTTATTAAAAGAATTGTAGGGAAAATACTGAAGACAGGAAATACTAGAAAACCGGAACATGTGCAAAATTGCAAATCGTCATCGTACAATGAGTACCGCGGTAAAGAACACGTTATATCGTATACCGGAAGTTTTGGGAAAGAAAAGAAGAATTGGGAGAGAAATATCGCACAATACTTTTTGTAAAGGCGAACGAATTGGACTTGTTTGTCAATAGCGTTCTTACAACTTCACGTGTCCGGGATCAGGAAAGATTGTCTTTAACAGGTTGTGAGTTCGGTCGTGAACGGTCGCGATCTGAATGTACAAGTAATCCCGTAAAAAGCAATAGACCAACAGATATTGTACAAAATACTGGCGTTATTCGTAAAAGAAATTAGCCAAGTAAGAATTGTAATTAAAGATTGTGAATACTGTTATTGAGCAAACGCAATTGAATTTGCAGGGAAACAAGGTAAAGATGGGCCAGAGGAGAAGAAGGATGCCGACGGCGAACTTTGGGGCAACGTGGAAGCACAGGCCGCCTTTCTCGGGCCCAACCTCTGGGACAAAACTTTGCCTTACGATGCCGACCTGAAGGTATTAAACCATGTATGTATAAAGGCGGGATACGGTAAGCCTATAATTTGGCTGAGTTTAATCCCAAAATTCCATAAAACAAAGTCGGGAACTAAAACTAATCATGTGCCGTACGTTTTGTCTTTTGACTACTATTATTTATCCGTTGACATAATCTATGCTCTTTGTGTGATTTCCTGTCCATTACTTATCGCGGCAAAAACGTGATTGCCCCCTTGTATCATTTTTTTAAGTCATTTGCAACGGATTTTCTTATTTTTTATAATAGCATCGATTTTGGAAATGTGCTTCGCAAAGCTCACATACATCCCGGAAATTGCTACGTATGCCCGCTACATAATTGAATGAAAAATCAATGTAGCGGACCATTGTAACACTTATTCCGTTATAATTCGCCTTCCTGGGTCGAGAAACCGGGAAGCCGAATATTAAGCCGCTATGCAATCGCGACGATAGCGGTCGCTTTCTCCGTTATGCCTCGGCGGAATCGAGGAAGTTTCGGCTATTCTTTTCTATCTCCATTATTATTTTTAACCAAACTATCTAAATAGCTTATCAAAAAAAAAAGTATATCCTTTTAGATAACTCTCTATAGAATAGCGAAACTTGTCTATCTTCTAAAGAAATCAATTCAATTGTCTATAATATTACATAAAGAATTCGGTATTAATTTATGCGGTTGCTATATATGGGTGTATACGATATAATTAATAATTGAAACGTATCTGTGCGATACGAATAAATTGTATAAATAATGCAATTTTTGGGAAAGATTATAAATCTCTTTCACATAAATCTTTCGCCAACTTTCACCACTTGCGTTCCTTCCATCGCGATACGCCGCTTGAATCTCGATAAAGAAACAAGGCAAAATTACAAACTGCAAAATGAAATAGAGAAGATTTTTCTATGAAAGCCTATTTCTTCATTACATTCAAGAGTTTCGCTTGGAAATGGCTTTATATGCCATTTCAAAATTACGAGGACGGTATGTAGAGAGTGAACAGCTTTTACACTTGTATTATTTTACAGGACTTTAAAGAATTCGTATAACTTGGGCAAAATATTAATTGATTGCGTTTTTAATAGAATTAAAATAAAAAAATATTCTAATTCTAAATAACGCAAAATATTTTTTGATCTCGTTATTAGTCGTATCGATATAAAGTCTACGCGTATTATCTATGGTTATCTATGGTATTATTTATGGTCCTGTTAAAAATATGGATTCTAAATATAGTTTAGTTGGAAATGTAAGATAAACCCTGCTCGAACTTGATAGAGTTCCGAGAAGCCGGCTCGGAAATAACACCTCAGATCTTTGTTAATAGTACGTCGATCTTGATGAGTTTCTTTCCGAAAACGGCATCCCCGTCGACGGTGTCGCTGGTGGTGGACAGGGTGCCATGCAAGGTAGCCAGCTTCATAAAATCAACAACACCGAGGCCGCCGGACATCAGGGACCAGCCGGTCTACACTTGGAACCAGTTACCAAGCGTGAGAGATCACCATCGCCGAGCGAATGCTGCTCGCCGGACACCCTGAACCCACCCTCTCCCGCGGACTCTAGTGAGTAAAGCACAACCTTCTCGCTCTCTCACTTTTATTCCTCGCCACAGCCGTCGTTCGCGATATCGAGATCCTGAGAAGTGTTTCACGCGATTTCATACGAGAGGATACAAATTTCACACCTGTAATATCGCCTATCATTAAATATCAGTGTCGAATATTTTTAGAAGATGAGATACTCGATAACGTACAAGTGTGGAATATTGGTAAATGAAGGAAGATCAAGAGTGCAAGAGCACGTAGAGTAAGAGAGAAATGCAATAGAAAGTCATAAATGGAAAGTTTGACTGAAAGTAAGCGAGCTAAAAACGGAGTGACGAAAGCAAAGTACAAAGAAGCCGCGACTCTGACGTAAATAATAGTAGCTGCATTTTTGCAGCGAGAAACCGGAGAAAAGACGAGAAATATACTATCTCAGAATCTGTATTGCAACAACGTCGAGCTTGTCGAGTACATGACAGCAAACTAGACTAACGTCGACATTTGTCGATTCCCCTTCCGCGCAACAGATTCCCTGGACTCGTCACGAATACAATATGGCTTGTCTCTTGTAGCGCTCTCGATGGCCTCATCGGGGCGAGACTTCGATCCACGTACCCGGGCCTTCTCCGACGAGGAGCTCAAACCCCAACCTATGATCAAGAAATCGCGGAAGCAGGTGAGTCCTCATTTGCATAATTGCATTGTTCGCGTCGTGGCTTCCGACGTCAAATTTGCCAGCTATCGAAATAAACTGAATCCTCGACGAACCACGCGTTTTTCGCGACGTATAAGTGAATACAAGCGTTCTAACGTTCTTACGCTCTTTCTCTCTCTTCCGTTTGCGGCCGCAGTTCGTTCCGGATGACTTGAAAGATGACAAATACTGGGCGCGTCGTAGGAAGAACAACATGGCAGCGAAACGATCGCGAGACGCGCGCCGCATGAAGGAGAACCAGATAGCACTCAGGGCCGGCTTCCTCGAGAAAGAGGTAAGTTTTCTCACGGCTGGAAATTTGAAACCGCTACATAGACTGCATCTACCAGTGCAGTTGCTTCATAAAGTTATCGGAGACGTTTAAGGACATAAGATTGACAACTTGAGAAACGCTAAATAAAATCGGGATTTCGTAGACTTGATCGCATCACTCGATCGAAAACACGACGAAAATAAAATGATCTCTACTGTAACGTATACGTATAAATTTAACATGGATTTAAACTTTTAAATCTAAAATAAATCTGAAGTTAAAATTACCGAACTCCTATAATGTTAAAGAATCATACCAATGATATTGATCACTTATCGATTTTCTCCTTGGGAGACACCGCGAAGAATTGTTCCCGCGGATACTGTTACAAATGAAGAATACTTTCTTCCTCCACTAATTCTAAGACGTAGTCGTAGGAGAAAATTAATAGGAGGGGTTTTTAGTATAAATATCGGTCCATCAAAGGACTCGGCCCAGTCAGATGATAATAATTAGATTGTTAGACTGACTGACAGACTGACTCCCTCATTCTCGCTGTTTCACTTATTAGCCTGTTGATTCGAATTGGTTGATCAATCTGTTTCGACGGTACTAATTTATTATTTAATGAAGTAAGGATTTAGTTTATTGTTTAAAAGGTTTTCATTCGTAAATCCTCTAATTCTCATTCCAAGATCGCTGCCAAAGAGTGTGGCGAACTGATTCCTAATTCTCTACTGATCGCTGCCAAAGAGTGTGGCGAACTGACTCCTAATTTCTTACTGATCGCTGCCGAAGAGTGTGGCGGACAGAATCCTAACTCTGATGCCCAAAACCAAAGGAGGAAGACGTATACAACAAAAACGTTTACGTTATCAGATAAAGAAGACGTTAGAATTCGGGAGAGATCCCATTCCATTACAACTAAAGTACTATAATTTAGAAAATCTGAGTAAAGATTTTGATCAACAAACAAATTATTATTATCTCATTCCGATTAAATTAGAAATTAATTATTCAAATTACAGAATAATTCATGAAACTGATCCTCGTTATTTAATCTACAAAATACGTTATCTTGGCCCGGAAATTAATTAATTCGCACAATTAAGTCTAATCCCCGGTAAAACACTTAAATGTGTTGACCGTAAAACAGACAAGACTATTATTTTGACGTACTGAGATGTGACACTACTGGCTACATAGCAAATTGTTTGCATCAATTTATTGCTTGTTGTTTCGCACAAGTTTTAAGAATTAAAACTTGAAATGCGCTATCCGCTAGAGTTGTCAATTTTTAAATAAATGACTTCGTTCATGCAAAAGCGAAGAGTTCAATCGAATCTTCACTCTCTCGCTTCATTTTCAGAATATGGGTCTGCGGCAGGAGCTGGACCGGTTAAAAAACGAGAATATGTTGCTACGCGACAAACTGAGCAAGTACACGGACGTCTAACACCCCGTCATCGGCCATGCACCAGCTCGAGCGACACGCAAAGAAAGAGAGAGAGATGCGGATACGGGGGTGCATCACAACTCCCTCGCCTATAGTCGCAGCACACACAACAGCCTCCGCCTTCGCGGAGGAAGCGAAGGGGATGCGGAGCGTGTTGACGAATATACCACCAACTCCCGAACCGACTGCCACCGCCCCGACAACCAACTTCCTCAGAAAAATCTCCGAAGAATTCAATTCTCCATCATTCTCTTTCTCTCTTTCTCTCACTCTCAAATAAAATTCTTATTGAGTCCTCGCTCCTTGTCCCGCTCTAGAAAACTCCTCCACTTGTAAATAGTTATATGTATAGTTAGATTATATACACACACATACATACATAGGCGCGTGCGCGTTACACATAAGAAAACACATACACACATTTTAAATAAAAGAAAAAGAATATATATACATACATACATACACGTACACATACACACGCGATACAATGAGTATGCGTTTGAGGAAGGAGCTGCGTTCGTTACACGTAAATAAATCGCGCATGCAGCGCACGACGAGAACACGTCAATTTCGCCAGCATTCGAGTCTTCTAGATTTGCACAGCGAGCCATATTACGATGGGATTGAATTATTACGAGAATAAGCTATGTATAGGACAACGCAAGTTTCTTGAAATCGCACTTGTTCGGCGAAGAAGAGACCGAATCTCGTCGGCGCTGAGCACTGCCACACGTAAAGAGCTGTATCGTTAGGTCGACACGGAGCGGAGGCGAGCGATGGTTGGGCGAACACGACGCTTTTCTGCGCACGGGTTAATTATCCTGGTTCTCCGAGAACGCGTTAATTACTGTAGCGTATCCCACGTGGTGATGGTACACAAGTGATTCTAGTTGTTTTAATCGTAAGATAGTTGACGTACATGTTTCGTTTTCATCGTTTCTTTTCTCTCTCTGTCCCCTTCAATCTACCTACCTATCTCTAACATCCTTTTAGCGAGTAGCGAATCAATCCGGCCACGCGAGGGAGCGCACTTGGAGCGCGCGGAAGGCGTCTATCCCTTTTTCTTCTTTCGCGAAATATCGCCCGCTGGCCCAACGTCGGCGGCTCGGGGGCAATGACGGACCCGGCCCATCCCGAGATATACCATTTGTTGCGTAGCGAACAAATTTTTTGTACAGGATGCCCTCTTGTAAAATATATATATATATATATATTTTAAGACGCATCGTGTCATTCTGACGAGCGACGGTTGTACGAGCGCCGTGTCTTTGACACAGGGGTTTATCAACGCGGAACTTGAGACAAACGAAACGATATGAAACGAACCGTGTCCGACGATCGGCTCGCGCAGCCTCCCAGCAATAGACGGGCGCGCGCGCGCGCATCGTCGGGGTTAATCGTAGGCGTCGTTGTAAAAGTAAAAATGTTACATGTACACGACACGAAGATACGACCATCGTGCTTAAATGTAAGCTAGCTTACACACAGGCTCGCGTGCACTGGCCCATTTCTTTTTAAGTTTTTAGATGTTTATTTTTCCGTCACCGCGAGAGGATCGGTGACGGCGATCGAGAGAGCGAAAGTGGAACCGATGAAGGAGATATGCGCTTTTTATCGAGCAGTTATAAAAATTATAGCTGCTGTAAAGAGAGAATCTATATTGTACAGATCGACGCGAGAGTGAACGACATCTGAATGAGAGCGATTGCCGCTCGTTGTAAAATTTAGTGACAATAATAGTGACCGATGTATCGCGCGTTTCTTCAACAAAGTGGGCGAGTAACGAGAACGCGACGAGCGAGATTTCTAGCCCAATCGGCACGATTGATGATTTTAAAGATAATTACAAACGCCAGGACGAAGCTCGTACTTTCGTTAGAGATTCATGTACCGACGAATACGTAATAGTCTGGTTTTTCCTTTGACCGCACGGGAGAGGCACTCGATGCGCAAACGCGATACACGTTCTGTACATACGATATCATTTTATCAGTCGAGAGGGTAAGAGAATCGATGTAAACTTCAATTCGACTTCGCGTTTGATCGACGGTAAATTCGCTTTAAATGTCGCAGGACAGTGTCATGGACCGCGCGTGGAAACGTACCATTTTATCCTTGCGATAGTCTTTCAATCTTTCGAGCGTGTACGTAACCATTTACGTAACGTGTTAATTCTTTTTCCAAACGCGTTTCTTATATACGAAGTAAAATTAAATACGTAATTGCAATTTCGTCGAAATTACTTTTCGTGGATTTATGTATGTTCGTGCGCAATGATTCGAATGTTCGATGCCTCATGCTTGGAGCGATTTGCCGAAAGTCGCGCACGAAATCGTCCGACTACAGCTGTCACGATTGCCTTGCACATTCTAACAGAAAAATGCGTGAGTGTCGACAAATTTCGCGCGATTTCTACGATTGATTACTAAATCGATAGTTTGCGTCGACAGATTTAGCGAACGCCTTCGCCCGATAGTATCGCAAATCTAATTTTAGTAGTGGCACAAAATTTTACTTTTCGAAAACAAATTATATTGCGAGTTATCTGACAAAATAGCTACTGCATGGCTTGCTGTCCCGACGCAATGGATTAAACGGAAGGAAGTAGCGTGGTACTGCGTACGAGAAAGCGTAATAGCGGAAAACAGAATTTCGCGTTTGATTGTATACGAAGTTTCTCGCGTTATTCCTTAAAGCGTATAACGTAGGCTGCAAGACAATTCTTTCAGTTATCCACAATATCTATTTCAAGTTTACCACGAGCCAATGTCAGCTCGTATATGTTCTGCTTGTCACGCACACTTGTCGTCATTAAGGGCAAATACAAAATTGTATAGAAGGAAAACGATCTCTGCTTTTTTTTTTTTTACTATTTATTCGTGTAACAAATTTCAAATGTGACTGAGTCGCAAAGTTTTTACCAAAATGTCCGCTCGTATTACCGCTAGAAATTGAGAATGGATCTCTTTCCCGATCATTTTTTTCAACGCAATTAATGACGTCGAGTGTGCGATATAACGTGGATCTCGGCACAAGTTATTGGCCTATAAGAAGCGCGTTAGCATGATTGACACACATCGCAATTCGATAAATAAAAATAGTAATAAATAAAAGAGTAGAGAGTTACATAGCGCGAGAGACAGACGCGGCCGCCGGCTTTGCTCCAAATAGAACGGTAAGAAAACGAAACAGAGGACAGACGCCGCGTCTTCGATAAATAATCGTCCGATCCACTTAAATAAAATATGAGAAAAAATATGAGAAAAGTTAGATATGACCACCAACACAAGAGAACCTCTATTGTATCACATTTCGAGAAATATATGTATTTGTTATTGTTTTAATTGAATCCTACGGTTGTATACCATACCCTATTTTTTCCACGTACATCTCCCAATTTTCTTCAATGCATCGAAAACTTATATTTCGGCTCTTACTCTATGCCTACTGGTTTTGCAAATTTAAAAATCGACCCCAAGTTCAGCAAAGCATCTTTATAGATTATAATTTATAAAGATTAGCTTTGTGAAATATTTTATAAATTGTATTTATACGCGAGTGTAAGAATCGATCGTTACATATCGATATTTTCATCGTTCTTTAACTAGTTTCGTACCAACGCAACATTGATACAAACTTGCTTTTAAGAGTATTAATAATCTTAAATATTGTACATTTACATTGGCGATTGATAATTGATTAAACTTTAGACTAGAAATTTAATCAATAGAATGATAAGAAATTTAATGATATGTGCGTTCACGTTGTATAAAAAATGAACAAACGACGACGTAGGTAAATTTTGATTGAATTATGAATCAACAGACAGACTCATAAGGAGAAACTTCGATTATTTACACATCATAATATTCAAAGTTCAGAATGTCACGTTTGATTTTGCAATTAAAAGGGACGATGAGCTTTTGACATAAGTTCCTGTTTCAATGTAAATTTGTCATATTTTCGATATGTGACTATTAATTTTCATATAAAAATTGTTATATCGGCAATACGCTATTAGAATTACTTTTAATGCACGGGAAAAAAATGATGTTGAATTAAGCAAAATAAAGTTGCTTGAATTAAACGTTAACGTCACGGGCTGCCACAAACATAAATAATTCACTTAATTGTATTTGCTATGGATTTTAATTTTAAGCATTGAACTAAATATCCAGATTATTAAGACAACAATCTGATGTGTTTTATTTATTAATGCTGACGTTGTTGATACAACATCATATTCTTTTTCCGTGTAGAGAAAACGTTAAAAATTATTTAAACATCAAATATTTTAATATAAAACTGATACGTCACTAAATAATGTACACATGTAATGCATACTAAATGCTAAATAATGCATACATGTAAATCGACAAATAATTGAACATAATTCAGAATTAAATAGCAAAACTTGTTCTATCCATTCCAAGATGGTGGAATATAGGAGACATTATATTCACAATACACATGATTACCTTAAAAAATATTTAAATATCAAATATTTTGATACAACTGACTAATCAACGTACTGTGTGAACTTTGAAATAATTTATATAACTCTATCTACTATCTTTTATATTTGGAGGCTAAGATTAAAAAATTACCTCGTAGTCGCTTCACCATCGGTGCTTCCCAGGTCTCTATCACCTCCTCTCCTTGATTGCACAACACTCGCGAAAATATAGTTAATTGCGCACTAATTACTGGGATACGGCGACGCTTTAAACGGCATTTTCAACGTTACTGGCACGCAGGTACTGCCGCGTATTTAGGAAACTCCGTACGTAAAGGAAGTTATTCTGATATCATCCGACCTGATGTAATTAATAAAATCGAAACAGAGATACATTAAATTCCGCGAGAAATATATATATTAACAATAAATAATCAACACGTGCATCGTTATTTAAATCACTGGATTGAGTCGTGAATTAAAAAATAACAAGCAAATTATATTAAGTGAGAAGGCAAGAATTTTCAAGTGAGACGCCAAAGACGTTCAAAACCATACATTTACTAACGGGATGATTATCGTCCGACATCGTAATGATATCGTAATGAAACAGCTATTTATACGTCCCGTTCCCTACCGTCCATGATTTTTGATGAACAAAAAGCGCGGCACATTTCCGCTTAAACGGGCAGTCGTTGATATTCTATGTCGATACGCGAGCGTGCCGTTAATTGTCAAGGGAAATTAATTATGCAAAACGATAATCGTTGAATATTGATACGAATTTCTCGCGTTTCGAAACATACTAACGCGACGATACGCGGAGCGTCACGCGCCGTGCTTGCTCGCTCGAGCACCGTAGAGCGAATGACGAGTACGTGGCGACCTTGTTTACGCGACCGCCGTGCTATACTTTATAAAAACAATTACCCGAAATCGCACGCCCGGCAGTTTGTTGTCGTTTTGAAATATAACGTTTCGTCAGGTAAATTCACGTCGAATGTGATCTTTTCTCTTAGCCTAATGTCGTACGATAAATGTAATACGAGCCTTAGGACCTGAGCAAAATAATTTATGTTTTATGTTTTAAATCTTTGTCTTAAAGTAACGCACAATAACTGTCTTGTGTCTTAAATATACGAGACAGTCATTCTGCTCAGGCCCTTAGGGTCAGAGCACAAAGCAACGTAATAGCTTACGACAAAGACGCAAGCGTAAACGTAGATAGCGCACAAGCTTTGGCGTACTTACCTCCAATTACATATGACGTTACTTTTACGCCAAAACTTGTGCGCTATCTATGTTTACGCTTGAGTCTTTGTCCTAAGCTATTATATTGCTTTGTACTCTGACTCTTGTACGTTTCAAATTAATTCCAAGAAACGCGCTGTTACTTCGTGCCGTTGCCTCGCGACATTGTACGGTTTGTTTGAAATAACGAGAATTAAATGTATCATCTTTCGATAATAATATCTATGAAAAAAGATACCGATACGTCTCGCGATATTGTCAGCTTCGTTTGAAATAACGAGAATTAAATGTATCATCTTTAGATAATAACATCCCTTAAAAAAGATACTGAACGTTCTTAACTGAACGGGATTAATTACACTCTCGAGTTAACAAACTGTAAATGTCGCAAATCGAAACACGAAGCATATGATAATCGCTCACGTTTATTATCATAAATTTGAAATGCAAAGAAAATATTCAAAATGACATTAGGAAATTAAGAAAGTCAAATAACAAGAATAGATATTCAGTTGTTTTCGCCAAATTGCCTTCATCATCTTATGATTTAAAGTTCAGAATTAATATTTAATTACTTTAGCGGTGGTAGAAGTAATTATGTAGCATACTTATATAGCATTTAGATATTGGAAATTATAATCGAAAATTCTAAATCAAGAGCCGAAAAAATGATAAATTATTGCAAAGGATCCACTACCCCGTTGAACGATGACGCTCAACATATGGTTTACGGTGATCATCGCTGCCTCGCGAGATAAGCGTGGGAGAACAACGCAGGCATTTTGAGCAGGGTTGGAAAAGTTACTTTATAAAAGTATCTAGTTTCAGTTACAGTTTTTTCGTAAAAAATGTAACTAGTTACAGTTATAAGTTCCAATTCTGAAAAGTAACGCGTTGCAGTTACAGTTACTCAAAAAGTAACGAATCGTTACTTTGCACTTATTTTCAGACAATGAAAATGAAATATCAAGTCTGCATTGAATTGTAAAGCGTCGATGAAGCGTTTATGTGCAAATGCAAGGCAATCTGTGGAGGATTAAAATATATACATATAAAGTAACTATTGATGTAACTGAGTTAAGTTACAGTTACAGATGAGAGCAAGTAACGAAGAGTTACTAATAAAAAATAACTGTATATATAACTGTAACGAGTTACTTCCCAACCCTGTATTAATATCATTTTTCTTTCTTTCTTTATGAATGCAATATTTTTTATTTACTAAAAACTTATATAAGATCAATACTGAGTATCTCATATAAGCAAAAATTAAATTTCGTGTTGAATAAGTGGGATTGCATTTTTTTTCAATCACATGTTTCTCTATTATTATTATTACCAGTACCGGCCTTAGGGCGGGGCGCGGTTGGGCGGTCGCCCAGGGCGCCAAATCTGTAGGGGCGCCGCTGCCTGGTTTCACCTAGTTTAAGAGTAAGAGAGATTCCCTAAAATATAAAAACAAAATGGGGTTCGTCGTTCGATATTATTACCCTGTCGCAAGAATTTCGAGCCCTTGAATTTGAATGGGCACCCACGATAATCTTGCTCAGGGCGCCAATGTTGCTAAAACCGGCACTGATTATTACTATTATCGCGATTACTTATATAAATTCGATATTTTTATAATTTTTGTATAACTGCTTGGTTAACATTTAGTCAAGATATCAATTAACGTAAACGATTACATATATATTAATATCTAATTTGTATTAAAACCACTTTCACATATTAATATATATATATTTTTTTAATACCATCAAGTAGAATCAAGAATAATACATTATACTTTAATGATTGATGAGGGAAGAAAAATGTGAAAGTAATAAAAATGCTCTTCAAATTGATTCTGAAATTATGGGAGATTATTCTTGAACAGAAAAAAAGTCGTACAAAAATTAACTGGACATCGATAAGAAGATTCGTACATAAAAATTGTGAACGGCCAGCTTATCTTATGTTAGCGGTAAGATACCTGAAGAGATTATTGGAGTAAAGCACAACAAGATAGCCTACCGTTTTCCCCTACCAACTTCTGCCGACAATGACTGAGCTGTTGCGTCGCAACCGCACTCCGCAGCGCTATCGTTTAGTCGTGTATTCTACGTCGTACGAGTCAGACCAGTTAGACGCACGATGGTGTGGAAGTCCACGACCGTGATCTTCATTATTACCTGCGCTTTAATATCCATTTTTTTCCGGTAACTTCTAATCATAGATATATTTTTCACATCAGAGGCTTTATAGAATAATACATTTTGGCCGGTGAAACTGTAGTTTTTCCTTTCTCACACCGGCACGATAAGTAATTAAATCAACGGTCAACTCAATCACGAAGGTTTAATGTTAATTTATTCGCAGGTCAACTCCTATAGATGTACCGGATTTGCCGGAGACATTTTGGGGTCCCGAAAGAAATAAAGGAGCCTCGAATGAAGTACGGCCATTCGTTATTAAAGTAACGAAGTCGGTAAGTCATAAAAGAAATTTATCTATTGAGACAAGTAATATGATTTCAAGGCCACACTGTGGACCTTTACCTGTTCGTTATGTAAGATCTTTTTACACTGTAACTGCAGTGTTTTATCCGTTAAGAAATGTTAATTTTATAGACAATTATATAATACGTAATGTGATCAACACGTATTTTGCAGTTTCCATCTTATTCAATCGCGTAACACGATTCCGAATTACTGAATTAGTCGATATTACTGATATCGGACTTTTTATTAACGAAGACAAATTACTATAAATTACACTAGTAAATTTTTATACGATCAAACATGGTTCATAACTTTTCAAGAATATTTGCAACAAAATACATAGCGAAGCACCACATATCAGTTTAAGCCAGTTTGACCACAGTAACTGCATTTTGCATAAATGTATCATAAATCCTTTGAAAATACTCATTGAATAATTCAATACGTGATGACGTAGCTAAAGAAATACAAGAGTGTTAAAAAGATGTTGAAATACACTTATGTTTCATTTATGACTTAACAGTTCTTTTAATTGCAAAATATGTAAAACTTTCCAACAGATTTTATTTTATGCGCATATCGAACGCTTTAAAGCAATAAGCGCTGTATAAAATATTTTAATTTAAAAAATCTTGGAAAAAAATATGGAATAAAATAAGCAATAGAGCAATTCTTAATTTGAGAGCATCGATCGATCGATTGCAACCGAGATAATATAATCTTATCGCAATTTGAAAGACCTAATAAACCTTTCATAGGTTAAACCCGAAAGAGGAACGCCCTATTATTTTTAACTAGAATGCAATTTCTTGAATAAGGTAATTGACGACCTAAATGAGAGGATCTTAAAGAGAAGAGAATTTGTGGAACCACTGGAGGATGCTGCGTGGACTTACGGTATCAGTACGACGTATTTGAAAGATGTTCTTGAGTATTGGCGTACAAAGTATAACTGGACCGAGCGGGAAGCATTGCTCAACAAGTACCCACAATACATGACCAATATACAAGGTAATAAATCTTCTTGTCACCCCGACCGCGTTTAGAAAAGTTTCTCGATCATTTTACGATAGAGAAGACTTGCTCAGACGCGAACGACGGATCATTAAGTAACTTCTTATTTCTCTGTGTTCCCGGCATTCGTTGCTTCCCTCCTGCCTATTATGAGCGGGTAATAATAAATGCCGATCCAGCTAACTCGACTACGGTCCAACCCGTAAAAGTTCCGTTAGAGTTATTCACCCAAACGGCGAGTAGGTTTTGTAGCGCGTTAAGCGAATACTTGAGTAGAAACGAAGGAAACGTATTTTCCTGGTATATTTCCACGTTAGAGCACAAGACAATATTATCGCATAGATTGGTCGATAATACTTGCAAAGTTCTTTCGCGCCGAGTAAAACAGATAACCGTTCGTTATTCAATATGTATATGTGTTAATGAAGTTTCATTTATAGTTAACGTTATTTGTGTAGTTAACGTAATTGAGATTAACGTCCACAGGTCTGGACATACATTTCTATCATGTGAAACCACATATCCCGCCGGAGCGTAAGAACGTAAAGGTTTTGCCACTGTTGATTGTCCATGGTTGGCCAGGATCCGTAGTGGAATTCCAAAAAATTATTCCCATGTTGACGACGCCGCGCCCAGACAGAGACTTTGTGTTTGAGGTGATAGCGCCGTCACTTCCGGGTTATGGATTCTCGCAAGGGGCCGTGCGACCCGGATTGGGAACGCCACAGGTAAGATTTACGGAAAATTTCCTCGTAAACTTAAATGACGTCCTAGTCACGCGTTTGTGACGACGAAGAAAGCGAAGAAAAACGAATATGTTAATGCAACGAATTTTATTCTTGCGATGCGTGAACGATTCCCATCAACCTTTTGTCACTTTCAGATAGCTCTTATATTTAAAAATCTTATGCTGCGCCTCGGTTTTGGCAAGTTTTATACGCAGGGCGGAGACTGGGGCTCCGCTGTTGTTGCGCATATGTCTAGTCTTTTCCCGAACAAGTACGTATTATTAACAATGACTTGGTTAAGGATTTAACGAGACTCGGTGTATGTAAGAGCACGAGCATGACAATCGTTCTTTTGCAGCATTCTTGGCACCCATAGTAATATGTGTCTGGTCATGAGCAAGTCCAGTACGATATGGAGAGTAATCGGCTCTATCATGCCATCGCTCGTCGTCGAGAGCCAATATGCCGATAGAATGTACCCATTGGGGTATCATTTCGGTCGACTTCTCGAGGAATCTGGATATATGCATATACAGGCTTCTAAACCAGATACTATAGGTATGTACTTGACTAAGTACTTGTTTATGTTATAGAGGTTTCTATAGGAAAAAATTTTAACAATCTCTACTATTATTCATTTCTTTCAACATTGAATTAAGTTTAATAAATTATTAAAATTGTATTTAAGGTAAAGTCGCGTGTACATTAGACTATTAATATCACAGGCTATTATAATTTCTATGTATTTAAGATATTTGAGGTAAGATTTAACTATTGGACAGTTAAGATAATTAAAAACTATTTTTTTTAAGGCGCTGCTGTGGGATCCTCGCCAGTCGCACTAGCAGGATATATTTTGGAAAAATTCAGTACATGGACGAATCCAGAGTACAGATTTCGTCCCGATGGCGGTCTCCTCGAGAAGTACACGTTAGATGAGCTTTTAGACAATGTTATGCTTTATTGGATTAACAACGCCATAACTACAAGTGTACGACTTTACGCCGAACAGTTTAGGGTCATGCATATGGCGAGCAGGATCGACGAGTGCGTTTCTCTTTTAATTGCAATTCCACTTTCATAACTTTCTATATTTAAAAGTCAGGTGTTCTTTGCTTTATTTCCAATAACGTACGTCCAATTTTTAGATTGCCTGTCGATGTGCCAGCAGCGTGCGCGGTGTTCCCTTACGAAATAATGTATCAACCGGAAAGCCTCCTTCGTGAAAAATATACTAATCTGATACAATTTAATCACTTGCCGCGCGGAGGTCATTTCGCTGCATTTGAAGAACCAACTCTTGTAGCGGATGATATCTTCAAGTTTGTGTCCACGGTTGAAGATACCAAAAAGAAAAGTGTTAATAAAAATACGCCGAATGCAGGGAAGAAGATAAAGGAACCCACAAAAATTTGAGAGAATATTTAAGAATAGCTGTGTGCTATTTTAATTAAAAGAACAAAAAAATGCCAAAAAATGCACAGACACTAAACTTGATCGCCTATACAAACGATGTCGTTGCATTTTCTCTAGTTTTGTATAATATGAAAATTCTTTCAATAAAAGAATTATTTTCCTAAATGCTTCGTTCTTTTCTCGATACCGTTCTCGCGGAACATGATTATGTATTAAAATTTTTATTTTCGATATTTGAATCATCGATTATTTAAAAAAAACAAGACGGTTCCCAAAATACAAAACTGCTTCGTTTTGTTACGTATTATTTCCTCTACGTACTCGAAACCAAAGCGCGTTCGAGTAAAACTTTTATCTCGATACATTCAATACATGCATGCGTGATATATTTTATCGCCATGTCGTAACTTTTTGCTCCGTGATAAACAATTACGTTGACGAGCTCAACTTGCTGACATTAATGACTACGCAAATACATATACGATTAAACGCATAAATATTCTTACGACGTGTCACAAATAACAGAATATACAGGGTGTATCTCGAATGATGCTCTAAACTTTAGGAGCGTATTCTGGAGGTCGAAATAAGGCTTTTCTTGCCTATAAATATGGGTCCGCAAATAAACCCTCTCCGAGCTAAAATTCGAAAATGTGTGAAATTAACCAAACACCCGCAACGCAAATTTATTTATCTCTCAAGATAGGGTGATAGGTAACATCGAAATAACATTAATAACATTAACGTTCTGCATGAACAAATTCTGAACGCATTCGCGATAATCCGGAACACGCAAAGCATTTTTGGAAGGATACGGCAATCCATGAGGCACAGGATGGAAGCTTGCATCGTAGCCAATGGCGCCCATTTCGAACATTTTTTTACAGATAACAGTGAAACCACTTAAAAACTGAACGTTTTCGAAACTGCCAGCTTGGCAAATTAGTGTTTTCATGATATACGCTTTTATTTTTCTCATCTTAGTGGCTTACTTCGCTTCATAATTAGCTCGAAGGGGTTTCAGTTGCGAAACCGTGTTTATAGGAAACCAAAGTCTTATCTTGACCGCCAGAATACGCTCCTGAAGCTTAGTGCATTATTTCAGACACACCCTGTATATTTATATAACAAAGAAACTCGTGATCCACGATTTGATCTCATCTAATCACACGCTGAATACACTTTAACGAAAATTGTAGAAAATGTTTAATCTTTTCCGATGTGGTCCTAAAGAATGCGATCCTATCTAAATATTCATTCCTTCGTGTCGTGACTCTTGGAAATTGAGGCTTTCCGACCTATTCACAGATGACCGGACGGCTCTCGACGGGCGGCAGGCAACAAAGGACCCCATAAGAACTTTGTAGAAGGGAACAGCGACAGACCCTCTCCGAGCCCCAAACGTGACGCTTGATGCGCGCAAGTGCGACGAAAACGAATTGTACGTGTTAGATATTGCGTGACACTCGCACGGATCTGGACTTTAATCCCCACCGGTTTGTTTTACGGTGCACAGAGATAGTGACAAATATAGCTCGCGCTAATTGAAATCTATCCCAGTGACGTCAAATTTGCATTGAGATTTCGCGCGTATCGCGTAAATAAGATATCGCGTAAATACAAGACGTAACATTTTCGCGTGTGTCCGTAATTTTGTATATTAAAGTTCGTTAATTTTCTATCTTTTTCAACGTTGCACTGCCTAGAAACAAACAATCGATTGACGAAAATAATTCTTCAACGTGAAAGTGAGCGGAAAAAGTGCAACGAACGTACCGAAACGGCTTAGATTCGCGTTGAAATAGGTGAAATAGTGAGACACGTTAATGAAAGGAGTAGCATAAAACGAAGGGACGAGCGAGAAGAAAACTGTGTTATTTGTGGACTTTGTCAAATATTGTGGAAGGGTTTCCGGGCGACCAGGCACGGGGCACAAACGAAAGTCGCCAGTTGTTCGCGGATTGTCGATGCGTGGACGCCTCGGTCGCGCATATTAGAAGCTTATTTCTCCGCTCGCCCGGCACAACTTGTCCGTCAGTATCGTTACGTAATTGCAAATCGCGGTGCAGTTAGAGGCATCGATATTATACGGATTGCTATATGGGACGAGATTTTGTCCCTCCCGATCGAAATCGCTCGCGCGACAATCGCGTTAACCACCAAGTAACGTACAGTCCGCGGTTACGTGCGGTCTCTCTCTTCGTCAGCGAAGAAAGACGCGGTCTACACCGCGTGTGGGCCGCGGCGACAAATTCCAAGTCGACGCGACGGCGTAGGACGATCCGGGGCTCGAAACAAGAGGGAACCGCGTCGGCCACGTGACGGCATAAAGTGCAAGACGCCGGCGCGGTGTAATCATCTCGTTCCGGCGATATGACAGGCGGGAGGATGGGAGCAGAAGGAGACCCGACGACAATAATCGTCTACGCGGATGTTTACACGCAGGAAACCCCGAGCACGTCCGAGCATGAGCTCAGGTGAGTGCGCGACGTGTCTGCGAATAGGCGGACGCGCGTGTACGAGGCGAACGTGCGTGATGTTACGCACTCGTTACATCGAGGTTACGTACGTAGTACGTTCCCCCCCCTTCCCCCCCCCGAGTACGTATCGGTCGGGTATTTGCTGGGGAAAAGCGGTGGACGAACTGATGGACGGCGAGAGACGTTCTTTTCTAATTTACGGTGTACTCTTTACGTCTGGAACCATTCTGTTTTCTGCGAGCAAGTCAAGAAGAACCAAGCGAGAAATGAGACTCGTCGATCGATTCGACGAATCCTTTCTCGCCTGTCCTAGTAGCACAGTGAGTAGTGGACCAGACCCAGACAGCCAGATCTGTCAGATTTCGTCAAAAGCCCACTACAAATTTTGAAGGCAGAAAGACTGCGGATTGCGTATAGGAATTGGTATATTCGACATGTTGCCAACGTGTCAGCAGAAATACAACAAAATCTGCTCACACAACTGGACCTGCTCGGTTTCTGCCGACAATCTGCTGACATCGTACGTTTTAGTTGTCAGGACAAAAGCCAAATGCGGACGCAGCTGGCTGTGGTTTTGGCATTGGCTTTCTGATAAATCTGCCACCCATCTGCTAACATTTTCCTGACTGGGAACATTGGTTAAACGTTGGTCCAATACAACCAAATATTGGGCCAATGTTTAACCAATGCTTGGTCCAAATGCGCTGTGCTACTAGGGTGGGAAATGCTTAAAAAATTTGTCGACAGCAATGTATAATGTACAATTTATCAACTGCACAAATTTTTTCAACATCTTTATTGGCTAAAATATAGAATGTTTCTAGACACAAAGAGCCATTATAGATTAGGCTTTATCTCGCGTGTCTGGTTAAAGCGGCAGAGCGAGACAAAGACGGTTCGAAGTATTATATTACTGTTTTAAACCTCGCTTTCGTTTCTCTTTACATAACCGAGGCACGCGCTGATTGAAGTAATTAAAGGAAAAAACAACACCATTTGAAAACTGCGAAAACGATTGAATACAAAGGGTGGAATTGGATAAAAATACGATTTGCATTGATTTGTTATCGGCCAAGTCGTTTCTTTTATAAATGTCAGCGGAAAAGACCTCGTACATTTTTAGCGCGCGTCTGCGAAACTTCACCTCGGTTCCAAAGGTCTAACGGAGACAATGCGCATGCGAGAGTTCTCTGTTACGGTCTGTTTGACATTCGCGGTACGATTCGCACATGGGCCGGCGCAACGTGGTGTGCAACGTCGCGGGCAGCACACCTCGACATTAAATGTCCGTCCCTCCTTTCGCGTGCGATATCTCGTCCTCGGCGAGACAGCCTCGAGCGCACCTCGGATAGCGTTGTGTGCTCCGGAATTACCTCGCGTAACTCGACACGTGCTAACTCGGCGGGCGAACGCGCGAATTTTCCGAGAAGCTAATGCTCGCACGGCGCGAACGAATCCTCTCGCGCGTGCCGAGATGACGCGAGGGCTGTTTAGTTGAGCGGGCGTTAAAACGCGGACTAACGAGCGCGATCGTCGGAATCGCGTGTCCAACGCGGAGACACGTCGCGTCGCGCCGAGAGCCGGCGAATTTCTGCACGCGAACGCGAGCGCTAACAAATAGCGGCTATTACAATTTGTACGGGATATATTCCTCGGGAGACGTCGCGGCACGGGAGTCCCAATTTTTTTATCCTCGCACGCCTCTCTCGCTCGCTTGAGAACCGGTTTCATATCGACCACGTTTACATGCGCGTCTCTCAAAAAGGAGGCGCGACGCGAGCCGAGAAAGGAGCGCGAGGCACCTTTCGGCGAAGCGCAAACACTTTATTTGATATTCGGCAGCGAGAGAAGAGGAAACGGCCGGAGGTATCCCGGCGATCCTCGATCCTGGCTCTGGTAAAATTGCAGCGATTTGCAAATGAATGCCTACACGTGCACTCGGTACGCTACGGAATCCTCGTCGTTGATTCTCGTCTACTCGATATCACCATTTCCGCGCGATTCCCACGCAATTTCCGAGTTTCGAGCCAGATCAAGATCGCGGGAGGTTTTGGCGGGGTTAAATGCTCGTTTCGCGTCAATATAGCGTGTACTTGAAAAGACGAGTGCTCGTCGCGGACAGGACATTGTTACAAGCGGAACTGCGACGCAACGCGATTTAATTGCTCCAGCTGTTAAAAACAGACATGTTCTCGGACAAGTATGAGAGATCGTACGACTATCAGAAGCAGAAAGCGAGCGAGATGGAAGGCGAGAATTATTGTTTTTGGCGAATCGACAGAAACACCTTATACTACAAGTAAGTCACGCGCGGTTTTATCTGCCACGCTCGAATTCGCTTTTTAATCGCGAGTATAATTACGACGCTTGTCGTAAATTATACTTTATCTCGTCTAGTCGTGCAGTCAGCGCCGAATATTTGGCGATCCGCGGTGTACGTCGGGAGATGTTTACGACGAAGGATTTAATAAGCGGGAGCAAGCTGTTGCAAAACAGATTTTATCCAACGGTTCTATCTAAAGCGACCGGTCCGCCTTGACCGTGACTATAATTATACATTCCAGCCTTTTTGTAAAACTGAAGGCACGAGTACCCAAAAAGAATGTTGTACATTTTTGCAAACGTAATACTTGTTTGAAAACGCGTTAACGCGGATAAGGTTTATCTCGCGAGATTTTGTCCGGCCCTACGAAGATAGAAGTGCTCGGCTGACTGACCAAAGTGCCCTTCGCTTTGGATAGAGTGGACTAGAGTCGAAAAGTCCTTTACCACTTTGCAATTTTCGCAGTAGTTAACGAGTTATTAATTAAGAATCGCTGTCTTAGCCCGGGCTAGAGATGTTCCGTCGGATAAATACTTAACATTAATGAAACTGTTTCGACTCCGAAACAAACACTTTCGATCGAGCGAACCTGATGACTCGTCAAGGATTGAGATCAAGGATGTCATTCGAATGGCACTGTAAATGCGAGCAATTGAGCGCGTACACTGTTCATCAGTAACGTTTCGAGTGCTATCAGGAGAGATACAGAAAGACGTGCGCCGTAATAACTGCGTGTGATACAATTGCATTTCCGCCCCGCGTACACGTCGTCAATAAAAAGCCAATTAAGGTCACGCCAGCGATACGTTTCTTCGAAATTGCCATATAATCATTTACCGTAGCACCGGCGTACGATCTTTCGTCAGGCCTCCGCGAAGTTAATTATCACACAGGCGGCATGTGTTCGACGCGTTTAAATCCACGCGAGCATCATCGCTCAATCTTCTCCCGCATCCTTCACCGTTCCACGTCATACCGCGCTTACGGCTACGCACCTTCACATTCGCATCGCATGCTTGTACGGTTACTCGCGTCGTGACACACAATCTCTCAATCTCTCGCTTTTAGTCGACGGCCGCTCGTTGTCGGGTATCGCGCCAAGTTTTCACCTGCACTTTTCACGTGGTTTCCCGGCCCCGCCGCGGGAGCAAGGTCGCGCGGACTTGGTCGCGGAGGATTAACGCGTCGTCGCGCGATGGCGAAGCTGAAGACTGGAGGTGTGCTAACGAGACGTGAAGCCGAAGAGACGAATGTTCCTTAGACGCGCGACGTGATACGACTTATCGTTAGATTTTCGTTAGATTTCGGCTGTGCCCGCAGCCGTCGAGTGAAACATGTTCGGTCACGGTAAGTCGCGCGGTCATGGCAAGCCGAAGAAAGAAACCAACAGCAAGAAACATCACGTCCGCAACTGGATGAACTCCAAGAGAAAGAAGAAGGAGGCTAACCTCTTTGCGTAAGTCCAATCTTTCGCGTCTCTAGCTCTATTCTAACGACGCCCTTCTCGCGATCCGCGGCTCCCTCGGCGAGAGCTCGAGAAAGGAGGACGGTTTCCCTCGTTATTTCGGTGACTAGGCTCTTCCGCAATGCGGAAAATGACGGGCGGAGTTGACGTAACGTCACGCGTCGCGTTTCCATTGTCACGAATCGGCGCGAGGATTGCATTTCTTTTGCGTCGCCGGCGTCCCGATGAATTTCAATTCGCGCGGCAGCTCCTCGAATCCCTTGTCCTGCGTGCGACGTGCGCGCGCGCGCGCACGTGCGTGAGTGCGTGCCCACCAGTGCACACGTATTCCCTGCGTGAGCACGACGGCAGGATCGCTCGGGATGCCTCGGCGGCGACGGCGGCGGTGCAGTTTCGATCGTATCCGTCATCGATCGCGGCGATCGCGTCCGTACCAACGGCAACAGTGAGAAGCCCCGGAGTCCAGTTCGCGCTATCGCCAACGGACTGTCAGCGGAACGATGCGCTTTAAAAATACATTGTGGCAGCGTGGGAGCTACGAGTAAGTCGGGAGGGAAAAGAATGTTCGGCGTTGAAGTGGGTTGTAGGTTAAGCTGCCCTTCGCCTCATCCTGTAATCCTGTCACGTGTCCGCCCGGCCGAGCACGATTGAATTCTTTCGGTTGTTCGCGAGGAACGAACGACGGACACCGGCGAGCAAAAACCCGGGCACGATCTACCGAGTCCACCTAATCGTACCGTTCGCGTTCGATTTTGTTGCTCCGAGAGACGCTGATTTGTTCGTTTTTCGTTTTCGGTGACTCTACTCCTTGTTCGTCAGCCGCGCGATTTTGATCTTTGTCCAATTTGATGAATTAACTAAAGCCGGTGTTTATAGTCCGCTCTTATTAATGTGTTTTTAACCAACCACAGAGCCGTACTAGCCTCTTAAGACAACACTTGAGATGATTTTGAAATGAGAATCGACTATGAACACCGGCCTAAGGGCGAGCTTCACAAACGTCAGCTAACTGTTAATCGAAGGTTAATTGATTCTCTGTCTCTACAGAAGATAGAAAAAGATAGGGAGTTGACTGAACTCTGGTCAACAGTTAACAGACGTTTGTGAAACTGGCCCTAAGTGTGTGTTTCGGTCTTCACGGTTCTTTTGATTTTATAGAGGAAAGTCTCCTATTATGAAATAGCGGAGATAACGGAGTTTCTGCTAAAT